GAGGCAAAGAAAGTGTATAACTCGCGCGAATACTTTAACCACTTATTCTCGATATAGATAGATTAAGGAATACCTTCCAAATGGGTTCTTTATTTATATATATTTTTATTTAATTGCTTTGTGCCACTCCGTGGTCTTACGATATACAAGATTTGTAGTGTGTGGGGTAACCACTTCGTTCTAAGAATCCTTTATATAATTTCAAAAATCTTCGTCGGTTTTTCTTTTGTTTCAACAGGATGACGTACGTTATCTTTTGGTCTATTAGAGACACCTCCGCGACGATAACTACCTCTACCGCGTGAAGTAGTTGGAATAGCGTGGTGTCGTTGGAATGTTGCTTCCGGAAAGCGCATTTCTGTCTGCAAATAGACAGATATCTTTAAAGAGAACCCAATTCGCTTTGTTGAAATCAAGTGAGCTGGAGCAAGTTGGAGTTATGAGTGCTCATTTAGTACATCAATAAGTCTAGATGTCCTACCAATGAAAAATTTCAACCCACCAAGTATTCGTTATTCGTAGAGGACTTACTATACGAAGTCAAATAACGAAGATTTAAATCAAAGTTTTTGATTTTTATAAACTTTACGCCGTAGTCTACAAAATATCGCTGGTCTGGTAAAGTGCTTTGTTTAATCAGTGGAAAACGTAATATTTGATATATTACAATCACCAGACTGTCTAAAAACAAATTCTTCATAACACACGTTTTTAATTTCTAGAACCACTGAAGCATCTGATTCGCAGTTGCTGTTGTTACGAAAATTTGAATGCATAATAACCTATATTGATACCAGTCTGGCTAAGATGTATTTTTTTTTTTATTAATTGATGGATGAGTGTTGAGACTTGACATGGACCTTATTTTAAAAAATGTATTTTCTAAAGCGTCTTGATTTTCTTTTTGGGTATGAAATTGTTGGATGTTGAAATTGCTGGATTTGCAGATAATTGTAATATAGAATAAAGAGCATAAAGTAAACCATAGAAACATTTTTAATAATTATTCCTAACAGGGAATGCATGATAACCTTCATTGATACCAGTCTGGCTAAGCTGTATTTTTTTTTTTTATTAATTGATGGATGAGTGTTGAGACTTGACATGGACCTTATTTTAAAAAATCTGTTTTCTAAAGCGTCTTGATTTTTTTCCGGGAATGAAATTGTTGGATGTTGAAATTGTTGGATTTTCAGACAATTGTAATATAGAATAAAGAGTATAAAGTAAACCATAGAAACATTTTTAATGATTATTCCTAACAGGGAATGCATGATAACCTTCATTGATACCAGTCTGGCTAAAATGTATTTTTTTATTAATTGATGGATGAGTGTTGAGACTTGACATGGACCTTATTTTAAAAAATTTGTTTTCTAAAGCGTCTTGATTTTTCTTCCGGGTATGAAATTGTTGGATTTTCAGACAATTGTAATATAGAATAAAGAGTATAAAGTAAACCATGGAAACATTTTTAATAATTATTCCTAACAGGGAAAACAGTTTTAATGAAATTGATATATCTTTGATATTGATCACGCATTCCATCATTTCTAAAAAATGGGTGGTTATGAATATTTTTGTTCGATATATTTTGAATTTAAATCGCCAAATATATCGGTAATGGGGTCTACGAATTCATTTGTTACGGAGACAGCGTTATTTAAATTTTTATTTATTTCAAATAATTTAACGCCATCATAATATTTTATAGCCTGTAAATTTGTAGTTTACTTAATAACTGTGTGGCCTTTCTAACGGGCATTTCAATTAAGCACATGTTCTGAAATGCATACCCTAATAACTTCAGCAGAAGCACGGTCTAAATCTATACTAAGAGTATTTCTGATAGATTTGAATGTCAGTAATCATACAAAATATACACTGCATTATCTTTATAATTTAGCACATCCAGTCTGTGGTTTTATTAAAATGAATTTGGAAGAAGGCTACGTTGATTGGAGATTAGTCGCTAATAATGCTGAGTACACTAAATACAACCGTAAATACATAATCTAAGTTTTCATGAACCATTCTTTAGTGCAGTTCATGGAGTAATGACACATTTTCACTATCTACACATATATACGACAATTGTCAAAACGGACACATAACCTGCTTGTGAAGTCACTTTAGCAGATGTTGAACGGCGCACTTGGTCGTCGAGAACGACCAATGGCTCCAGGACGTAGATTCTGCAGTTTTTAGAACCAAATTCTTACCATTATACCCTACATATTCATTTTAAGTGTTACCATATTAGCTGTCATGTAGATTTTTATAAGAATTAAGTAGTTTTAAAGTAAAATAAATATTGATAAAATGTCATTGAAGTAAATAATATTTCTTTGTTAATTAGTTTTATGAGGTTAATTTTTATGTCTCAAATAAAAATAAAACCAGTTTTTTATTGTCTTCTATGTTGACATATTCCGAATAAATTGAAGTAATCATTGCTATTGCAAATTTAATTTTTTATTTTTTCGAATCAATTTTTACTGTTTTGGTTTTAATATATGGTAAATATATATTTCGTTTTTATATTTATATGTAGTAAAATTAATTCCCTGAATTTATAACATAAAATGCAAAATTTCTCGACGCACCTTAAAAATCATTTAAATTCGTTTGAAAATCCATACCATTGAATTTAAAAAAATTTAATAATTATTGTAACAAAAATCAAAGCAATATGTTTTTGAAAATATATAAATAATCAAAAATTTTACCTAATAAAATAAAATATTTACATATATAATTTCAACATTTTATTATATAAAATAAATTTATACTTTTTATAAAAAAAATATTTACATTATATACATTTATATATAAAAATAATTTATTTGCTAACGTTAAATTGACAATACTGTATTATTTATATATGTACAAGAATAATATATACCTATAATTATGTGTTGTATTTATTACATTAAGCTTTTGTGATTGTAATATCTAAATATATAGAACAATATACAAACAAACCTATTTATTAATAAATATGTGTATTTTTATTAATTAAATGCAATATAAAAATTATAATAAAAACTAAAGTCATAGTTATTTGTTTATGAAATGGCATATTAATAAATTTAAAGGTAAGTATCAAAGTAAATTAAAAATACAATTTTTTCTAAAATGCAATAATTATTTCTTTAACTTATTTCACTTTAACATTTCAGTTCTTAATTTTTGTTTAAAGCTGATTAATTTTAATACTGGTTCTATAAAACTGTTTTTCAAAATATCTAGAAGTATGTTAAAAAATTTAGTCCTGTGTTCCACACAGTTGTTAACGATGAATAAATCGTTCTCTTCTTAGAGGAAGATAGTCGCATTTAGGGTGAAATAGTTCGACTAGATTATGTCTGACTTGTCCACTAGAGAAGCGATTAACATAGAGTACTAACAGGCTAAAAGCAAGGATTAAAAACAAATTCTCCGTCCGTATTTTAAATTCAAATTATTGATGCAAAAAATAAGTATATATCAAATAAATCCAATTTCCAATACATACAAGAGTATGTGAATGGATTTATTTCTTCTTTAATTATGAACTATTCTTAAAAACTTATAATAAGTCATTATAGTGGCTCATACTATACTGACCTATTGGGAGTAAAACGTTAACAATTTGACTTTTTTTTTTGTAGTATTTGTCTTGCATAAGCAATAAGAGTGTGTTCATTATATCGCAGTCTTTTAATGGTGGGATACATGAATAGAATTTGCAATCAACCATAGGTAGTAGAAGAACAGCACAATCAATATTGAAGTATCCTTCGTTTGCCCTAGTTCATTTGTAGGTAATGTACAGCATGTTTGCAGTTGTTACAGGTTTCTGCCCAAAACTATCTATTGGCAACCAAGAGACATATAAAACATTAGTTGCTATCGTACTTAGGAATTCTGTTGGCGCGAGAAGAATTGCTTTTCTCTTGTTTAATGATGGCATCAAAATTAATTCAAATATAGATAATATATATCTATTTTGACGGTAAAAGTAACATTTTCAACCTCTCAGATTCACTTAATATCATTGCTTCTTTATGTCTGTTACTGTTAAGTAGGGAATGCATTTCAATTGCTTCACATGCTTCTGTCTTATAATCACTTTTTCGGTTTAATTGCTTCATCGTCTGAGTAGCAATTTCATATGCGTCGGCTTGAATGCCAACATCGCAACTGGTTTTACTGTTACGTGAATTTGGTTTCCCTAGTGACATACTTGAATACGAGCTATTAAGTATAATATTTAAAGGTATATCTAGTTCATCCGATCCGTATGATGATAGTGAGTCGCCTTCGTGATCCAAGTTTCGCTGGAGATGCAAGTTAAGATCTGATACATCCATTATCTTCATATCATCTTCATTTTGTCGTAACATAGGGATAACTGCTATTGCTTTGTGCTTGTTTGCATCTTTAAACGAAGAACGTGAAGTTTCTCCATCTGAAGAAGTAGTCATTCCTGCATTTTGAAGAAATGGCAAAATCAACTGACCATTTTTTCCAAGGAAATCATTTATGTCAGCCGGATTCAAACCTAAGAATATATTAAAAAATTATTATTAAAACTATATATATTTTTATTTCTAAATAAATATATTACATTTTTGTTTAAATACAATAAGACAAGTGTAGTAAAAGATATAAAAAAAATCTGTATAAGATGTGCTTAATAGAATTAAAGTCAAAGTACTTGCTGTTCGAGTGTTGTATAAATTATGAATTTATTCTTGCGTCGCATTTAACATTGACAAAATAGGACAATATATCTTTATCAAAAATCTTAAGAGTTTTTACCAACGTATTCAAACATAATTTTTACAGGCAGATTGTTCTACATTGATAAACATTTTTAAAAAAGGGATTAAAAAAGTATTTGATAAAGAAGAATTACAAATATAGCAGAACTGGATAAAACGAAAATATATGTAAAGATTTTGTAGAAAGAATAATAGTATAAAATCTTAAGCCATACAACACAACAAGGTTAGGTTAGTTTAGATTGCTGGGGCCATCAGAAGACGCACTTAAACCATGAATCACCAATGCAAGGAGTCCCTGGTATTGATCTTAACGGCATGTCCTCCCAACGGACAGTGTCCCGAAATAATTCCCACTATCTTAGATAAATTTTCACAATAAAGTTGACTATCAAAATTACTTCAACTATTCGTACGTAAATAAAATAATTAGATCACTAAAAAAAAATAAGCATTGATTATTTCTCTCAAGAGCATTTTACCTGGTATTTTATCGAATATTTTTAACTTTTTATCATTCCTTAATAAGTGGACTATTAAAAGCGAACTATTATATTTCATAATAATATTAAAACTGGACTTCAAACTAATAAACAATAATAATTAAATTTATTTGATTTATCTTCCTAATATCTCCACATTTTTCCTACCACCTTATACAACTAGATATTAGGTAAACTCCACTCATTCTCCAATCTAACTCACTTGCTAATAATCCACTTCCCACTCACACAATCATTACTCAATCACATCCTAACGCATGTATTTGTCATGCTTTCATATTATCTGCTTCACAGGTGCCCGCGAGCTACAACCAGATATTGAGGGATTTTGATTTTTCGAACACGCCGATTTGATTTTTAGCAGAACCATCTAGTTTGAGCAATTTTTCATATTACACCCTATGACGATATGACATATATCACCAGACATTGAAGTTTCAAATTACAAATTGCTTACATTGATTACAGTAACAAAAGTACACACGCCATTTCGTGTTAACTATATAGCTCGCTAACCAAGCTACTAAGCTATAATATATTGGCATGTAGGGATAATGGAAAAAGAATCACAAAATGGCTGTCGTTACTAAAATTTTTTATCTAGTGGTAATCTTAGCAAATCGGAATGGTGCCAATATAAGATATTAAAATACAATATTATTTATTCAATTACCTGCATTTGCTGTACGTCTTTTCATATTTTTATGACAGGAACTGTTCGAATTATGTTTTTTAGTGCTGTGTGTGAAAAGACCAACTTTGTGACTAGAGTTGGGGAACGTAGTTTTCTTTAAAGCAATAACTTGTGACTCAATTGAAGTGCTGCTTTCTCTTCGTACACTATACTTATGGCCACTGGCTGAAGCTATAAAATCGCGTCTTCTTTGAGAACGTTTACTAGTAGATGTTCCCTGTTTGTTGTGCTGATGATGGCTATTACGCGAACGTGAAGCAATTTTCGTTTTCATTTCTGCAATTTTGACGGATACCTATTACGAAAAAAATAAATTCATACAAAATATGTCTAATTTAAACTTAAGAGTTTCAGTTACCTGTGAATCTGAGTTACGTCGCGATTCTACTGAAACATGCCGCATACTAAAGCTTATTTCAGAATCTAAGGAATTCTTCCGGGCTCCTTGACTTGATGAGTTTGCGATGCCAGCACCCGTTAAGGCCATACGTCGTTTAACGAATTGCGGCAAATAGTTTGCCCAGGTTGAACTTATTTCATTGGTTTCAGATGAATTAAGATCATTGAGATCAAAATTTAAGCCTACTGGATCCGTATGCGTGTTATATAGAGTTATAGACAGCCTCCCTTTATCCTCAAATTCTTTACGTTTAGCCCAAGTTTGTGCAATCACTTTATGCTTTGGCATTTTTACATCTTCAACAACTTCCTTACCGAAACTTCTACAAAAAAAAAACGTAAAAATAACTTCATTACTTAATGTCAAATGATATTGATTACGTATTATTCATTTGTGAAGTATTACATATTTCTTCGGTGTCAAGAAAGCAATACCGATTTCTTCCATTTAAAATTTCTTTTTGTAAAGAACTGAAGAAGTTCACGAACCTAAATCTGTCCTTCATTTTGTAAATAAAAGCACATTAATATGTACACTAATCTGTTTGTGACTTCGAATGACAACAGAACAGGATGGCTCATTAAACTGCAACATTTTTAAACACCGTTTCCTTTATATTTCGAATAAAATTTTATTGGAATTGCACAAAAAATTGTTGGAAATTATTGTAATTAAAATTAGCAAATTCATTAAGCATTTTCGATAAGACGGCCTCTTGCGCAAACTATACTTTAAAGTCGGTTCATAAATAAGTAAGTTGTAGAAATGTAAACCTGTGTAATGAAGGGGTAATATTTTAGTACTGATTTTAGTAAATTTTCACATCTACTTTTCCTCACAAATTTTGCAAATCGACTTCAGAGCCACCAGTCCACCACATACTTGGACTACTCTTTTAGCTGTTATAAGTGGTTTTCCTTTAAGTCTATGACAGTTCGTAGTACTGCTTGACTTAGTAGTGTCGACTTGCGTTACGAGTACTATAGGTAAGTCATAGTAACGCGTACTTAATGATAACTACGCTTTTTCTAGATAGATTTTAAAATCTAGCAAGATTCTTGATTGTGTATTATTATTATTTAATTCCAGCTTTCATAGCAGACTTCCGAAACTTTTCTCTGTATAAACACACTTGTTTTTATATATACCATGGTTTATATTGCCAGTTTAAACCATCTGACAATATAATATATGATATTGACATTTACGTTCACAAATATCGGTAATTTGAAAAGTCAGCGCACATTTAATACATTTTTCCAAATTTTCCACAAATCTTTAAATCTTGAATACTAAAGTATACTTTATAGCATATGTCAAACAAGATAATTTGAGAACTATTCATCACAATTACATCGCGAATATTTTATACTTCGCGGGTACACATATTTTTTTAGACCTCTATATACATATAGTATCCTCTGTCCGTTCTTGAAACCTTGCAATTTTTGTTCATATTATGTGTTTAATAGATCCATACGGACTACAATAACAACAAACTAGTCCAGTGTTCTTTCACAGATCCTGTTAAACACTTATGTGTTCCAATCCTAATTATATAAAATCGGAGTCACAACATATAGAAACTCTACCATATGATGGTACTAAAATAATGTATTTCAACTTTTCTTCAACTAATATATGATTTTCTCGTTTCATTATGCAAACAATAAGTGCAGGAAGTTAATTGAGATATACAAGGTTTACCATGTATATAATTTGGTATCACACTTTTATATAATTTAACTATTAAATAAATGAAGTAATAATAAAATAATAACACATACTTTTTTATATAGCGTTTCCATGTTTCAATAGACGATGAAGTCCAGCACCATGTGGACATAACGATGCCAGAACCAAATAGACAAAGTAAATGTAATTGCAACACTGCTACTGATGGTCTGTTTTCGATTTTACACAACGTGTGTTCATCAGAAGAAATGCGACAACTATAAGAAAAATATAGATAAATTAACTATAATATTAATATTTTATATAACTTACATGACATATTTTCTCAGACTTTCAGCCCAATCGTTTGAATGCCGGAACTCAGTTATATGGCATGCTAATATTACTAATATAAATATTAACGTAAATAATGCGCAAAGACCCATTCGTACAATGATTAAATGAATTTTGTTACTCGCAGAGGTGGACTGAATGTCGTTGGCGAAATGCTTTAAACCAAAAAGCATTATCATGCCTCTAATTACAAAATAGCCGCCAACAAGCACAACGCAACAAAGTGGTCCTAGAAGTAGGCCAGCACGTATGGAATGGTTCAAATAGCCCACAAAACAAATACCAACAATACTATTGCCATCAACTTCACTCAATGCCATTGTTGTGATGGTTAATACTAACGGCATAGACCAAGCCACCAAATGGAAGTAGGAGCCCTTCTTATCAATGCGATCTTGTACATTACCAACAGCACGCAAATGCCAAGTGTACGTAAGGAAAACAAACCAGACCATAGCAGCGGTCAAGAAATAATAAATAAGTACGAAAACAACCACACAAGAGAGGTTCTCACCCGCGGTTGGCTCAGAATGACGTAATGTACCATCTTTACGACAGACAATATCCTCATGTGACCCTGGCGTAAATTGTGCAAGCCAACTATAAATAAATTAAATAAAAAATTACAAATTTTACATGTTATGCGTAACTTTAAAATAAAAAAAAATATTTACCCGAATGATGCAATGAGGAAACATAAATTTATATAAAATACAATTAACGCCGGATATTTATTAGCATTTTCCCAATCGATTAGAAATGTTGCTACTACAAATAAATTGGCCAGGAAGCAAAGCGTACCTCCCCAACCGACAAGTTTGTGAATTTCCTGATGCTCATCATTAGTATATAAAGGATCCTTACATTGCACACCACATCCTTCTATACCCGGATAATAACTAGCACTGGTATCTGCCGAAACGAGTGGGCTTAGACACTGTCCTGTTATGTTGAATTTCATTTCACGAACATCATTGCTACATTTCGGTGGAAACAGTGTTTCGTTACAACGTAGAAATTCTGGAAAATACGTTGTATTGTATAGTATTCGACAGGGTTCCAATGTTATGCGGCACATTTCTAATGAAGGCAAATAAACCATATCTTTACCGTTGATCTGCTCGCATTTCGGAAAGAATACAGCACACAAAAATGGCTATAATAGAAATTAGTGATGAAGTGCATCAGAATGAATATTTTAAATATACAACTAACCTGTATTACACTCCAGCATTTGGGCACATTGCGTATTGCACGATAACTTTCCAAATGCTTTAATACTTGATCTTGTGATTGATAATCAGTGAGATCGGAACTGGTGTACTCATACGGTATCTTAGCATTAAAGCACGTCTTTTGTGTTAAACGTTCACAATGTCCCCGCCGCACGCACTGTATGTGACGCACATCTAAACTACGCCCAACAACCCAGGGTTTGTCATCCTTACCGTTCTTTCCGTATATGCGATAATTAACAGTGCCGTTAATTCTTTCTAAATCCGTTTGCAGTGAAGTACTTGGTGCGCCGACGCCAGCGATTGCGGAATACCCAAAACCAAAAAACAGAGCAGCGCACACGGCGTGCAGTAGAAACGATGTGCGTAGCATATCAAAATATTCTGAAAACTAATAAAATTGATTTTAGTTTATTACGGAATAAATAATATCGAACACAATACCAAAAATAAATTTAATATTAGCACTAATTTATATTACTTGTATTAAAATACTGGAGAAAATGCTAGTCTGCTTTTAATTTTTTTGTATATATGGAAGCCGCCAACAAAATTTTTGGAATGCGATATAAAAGGCAAATTCAAAAAGATATTTCTCTCATTTAAATAGCACACAAAATTACACAGATCACAAATATTTATTTTATATATTTAAAAATTACAAAAAAATGTATAATAGAGTAATTTTATTAAATTAAAATGCATTACAAATAATAAACAAAAATAGAAACAAGCACCGAACACAAGCACTACAGAAAACAGAATACCAAATGAATTTTTGACAACTCTCCGTTGTCTACAATGGACCACACAAAGCGGCAACAATCGTTAGTGATGTATAAAAAATCGATAATCGAAGTGAAATAAATGGAGATAAATAGAAAACCGGTATGCTTGTTGCCGCGTTATTTTAAATTTTAAATTTGCAACTATAGCAATTTAATGCTTATTCCTTAAAAAAATACAAAACCATCAAGAATAATTTATATTTATTTTTTTATCTTACTTACTAAAGCTGCCGCAACATAATTTCTAAAAATCGCAACTATTAGTAAAAATAAATTCATTCCGGTTAATTATTTTATTTGCTCTAAATAATGCTTTTTAATCAGAAATCAGAAACCTATTAATTTTTGAATAATTTTCTTCCAATAATTTGATATAAATATGGAGTTTGTTCCATATATACGTTGGAGAATTTTTTTATATCAGTTGGCTTAACTCTGAACTGAATATTTTTTACATATGCGCCAAGTGATACAAAAAAGAAATTTCGAAACATAAGTGAAACAAATTCTGTTTCATAATTTAAAGAAGCTATGTATTTATGTTTTTTTAATAAAGATAATAGAGAATTAAAAAGTTTCTCAAGTTATGAATTGTTTGATGAAAGGTTTTCCATTTTGTTCATCATATGAAGCAGTCTTATTGCAACATTTACCTAACATCTAATACCTAATCCATCATTGCAAAACTGTTAAGCACGGATTTTGATTAGTTTGTTTCAAAAATTAATCTTCTGTATTTAAATAAAAGTCTCCAACAAATTTTTGGACTACAGCTTCCTTTCTAGATAAAGAATATGTAGAGATATTTTGATGATATGCGAAATAAAAGGGTAAACATACGACTAAAAAAATGTATTTATAAAAGAAATCAATATATCTCGAGCATTAGATATAACTCTCAATAACAAGATTCTTATTTAGACAACAAACAAGCTTCAAACATCGGTTTAGTTTCAATAATTGTTGCTGAAATATAAATCTTTTAAGCGCTTTTGAAGTAATAGATATTTTCGCATGAAACGAAATAAAAACGTATTTGACATCACATTCAAAAAATATTAAAGTTTTATAAAATTGAAAAGAAAAAATGATATATCACACACAAGACTTCGGGCCTAAAAATCAGCCACTTTATTTCTTGTGAACCTTTCAGTTTCTATTGAGTCTTTTATAATGAAGTCCATAGCAAAATATTCGGATCAATAGTATAGATAGGTATCAAATGGCCTAATAAACGAAGTAAATGTGGCAAATTTAGAGGTTCAGTAACATTACTTATATTAAGCTACAGTCGCATTACTAAACTATGTAATAACGATCAATAACCTCGGATTCCCAACACACATACAAGGTCAATAAACCGGACTTATATTTTGAGGACAACTTAAAGATAACATACAAGAACTCGCTTTTTGTAGTGGAAGTTAAAAACTATATACAAGCAGAATTTTACACAGTTGACATCAGAGTGATAAAACAATATTCATTGTTTTGTTAGTGTTTATATTTTATAAATAGGGTTTAATCGATATCTATAAAAATGGTATTATATGTTATATAGAACAATAGTACAATTTATGGTTTCAGTTATTAAAATACCCTGTTTCTAAGGAAAAAGGCAAAACACATTGAAATAAATTTAACAGAATATGCTAAGAAGTTATAACTAGCTTAGAAAAAATCAAAACATAATCATAGTTGAACTGACAGACATAATTAATCATAGACAAATTAAACAATATACATTCTGCTCAAAAAGTATTGTTTTTTTTTTGATGTTGTTTGCTAACTACTCCTTAAGAAATAGACCTTTTTGAAAAATTTTTGTTATGTTCGTACACCCTTTCTTGACATATGGTACAAATTTGAGCGCCATCTATCAATTAGTTTGTTTACAGCAACTGCTAATGTGAGACTACTTCAAGTACATTTAGCGATTTTTACTATGGAAAATTGTTGTTGTACGCGATTTTTTGACCAAACACGGCACCACTGTCATCGCTCAGCCACCATATTCGCCAGATCTGAATCCATGCGACTTTTTCCTGTTCCCGAAACTCAAATTGCCCCTTCGTGGTAAGCGTTTTGAGTCGATTGAATCGGTAAAAGAGAATTCGCCGAAGGAACTGAAAGCCATACCTGCACGGGCCTACGAAAAGTGTATGGAAGATTGGGTTAAGCGTTGGCATATGTGTATGGCTTCAGAAGGAGCAAATTTTGAAGAAGATAAAATAAATTTGGAATAAAATTTAAATTTGTGTGTTTTATTTACAAAATCCGGGTAGCAGAAGGTAAGCAGTCATTAAACTTGGGATTTCCAATACATCTGTAAAGGTTGTGCTACTACAAAGCTCAGGTATATAGGTTGTTAGAGCAGAAACTATAGCTATTACGGCACGAGACTATAAGTAAGTAGCAATGAATAACTTACGGTGGAAGTAAACCCATACATGAAGAAGCAGAAATACGACCGAATGGATTAGATTTAGGAACACATGGACCAATAATCCACACGCAGTACTATTCAAAACGAAACTGCCATATTAAGACTACTAGTAATCTCTGAAAAATTTAGACAGGTCTATATTGAAGTATGAGTGAAATAGTAATAACCAAAACTTCTTCATAGAGCCGAGCAAAGAACAGTTTGAAGTTATAGAAAATGAATTATAGGTTATCTTTGTTGAAGATGGGAATTTAATAAAGATTGCAGTATTGTATTTCCACACAGACGTCTACAAACTGAGAAGGTGATTAATGATTGTTGTCGATGAATTTGAAAACATGGCAAAATTGATTATCGTTATGCGATTCAATAGTTTATTTTAAAACATTTTATCACAACTTTTATGAAAGCGTAGGCATAATTACAATTACCGAAATGTACCGGTTTGGCAACAGTTTATTCTGAATAATGTTTTTCGCTACGCTATATGTCTATAAATTTTAGTCTTGAGATATCGGGTTTTAAAATTTTAGATTTATGCGTTAATTTCACTAACACTAACAAAAAGTAATCATAACATCAAGCGGTAAATACTGTATATATCAAAATTTTTATATAATTTATAAAACGCAACTTCCAGTTGTTGTTGTTGGTGTGGTTCATGTAAAAATTTGCATGTTTAAAAACCAATATCCCAAGCTTTAAACTTCTTTACTTTTGCTTGATGAAACGCGAGTTAGTTTCTAAAAAACTTTTACTAAATAGTGCCTGTGACCACTCGGATAATCCACTGTAAAAAGAGCTTCATTAAATTATGGTAAGTTATTTCGGTAAATTTACAGAAGTCTAGTTCGAAGTCCGGCAAATCTTTCTGACGCAATATATAGTGGATTTGAGTTAAGAAAGTGCAATTCTGAATTAATGTGAGTAGCCATAGAATTCCAGCGCTCTATTTTTGAATCACCTTTGCAAACTCGCGACTCTTAAGTCTTTTGGTTATATCTTCATTTCTGATATACTGGGAAGTTTTTTTGCATACATCATAATATATTTTGATAAGCTTTGTCATTAAAGACACAGCCATAACTTTCTTTAGGTGTTATAAGAATTTTAATTTTCACACTGAACTTTTCTTGTATTAATCGTTTCAGAGCAGTGACCCTTATATTGTCCAGTCATGTGTACCTTCTGTTAAAAGTTAAACCAAAAAATTCTACATTATTTTTAAATTCTACCATATTTCCACATTGATTTTTTTTTTTGCGGCAGTTGGTATTTCGCTTCAATTGATAGAATTGCCAATAGAGATAATCTGTCTTGGCTTATCATACTTCTCCAAATCTTAATTAATTTCAACTTTGAGAAGCTTCTTTCAGTAGAAGCTATACTGTCTGGAACTGTGAGCATCGTTCTGGTTATTATGTAAATATTCGGATATACTTCCTATAAATTATTTTCTTTAATATGCCGGACAAGTTATTTTATATCGTTGATTGAGTCTAGTGAGTTCGATTTTAAAAAGAGCAGTTCCCGATACAGTTCAATAGGCCGAATTATACCTATAGCATTAAAAAACTTGAGAAAGTCTTTGTTTGTCATACTTTTCATATGATTAATGTCATATATGCTTTGAATCGACAGTCAGTAACTTTTTGTGAGGCCCATGTGGGCGCGAGGCCATCGGCCGATGTTTGTCATATTTTTCAAATGATTAATGTCATATAACTATGTTTTGAATCGACAGTCGGTAACTTTTTCCGAGGCCCCTGTAGGCGCGAGAACGATCGCCGACGTCGCTGACGCCTAGCGCCGCCACTGAACATAGCTTTGTTTTTTTTCAGCATTTAATCAAATTCTTAATATGAAGTTGTAAATTATTTACAACATTATTAACATTTCTGTCAGTAAGTATAATGCAGGTATCATCAAAGAACCAAATTATGTGTATAGATTCTAAAGAAAAATCTACTGTATGTAAATTATACAATAAAGGATACAATGGAAATCACTGAGTGACACCTATTCTAATTTTCTATCTAGATAAAAAGTGGTTATGGAGTTTGAGAAGAACTCTATTTGAGTTCTGGCTATTTTATCATTTCAACTGGAATATCATAATTTTTTAATTTGACTATCAACCCGTTATGTCACAAATTATCGAACCGCCTTAGCGATATGAAACACAACTATTTCAGTAGACATCACTTCACTAAGGAGTCCAGTTTTCTGTAGTTTAAGAAACTATTGCTAGTTGTAGATCAATGAAAAGATTGTTTAGCCGTAATTATATTTCTGTGTCTTACTAATACAATTATTTATTCTATTTTAACTACAGTAAGCAGCAAAGATAAAGGTCTCTAATTTTCAGACAAAGAAAGGTCTTTTCCAGGTTTTTGCAGAAACCACTATAACACGCTTAAAATAATAAAATAATTTAAACCAAAGATTTTAAATGAATAATGGGTTCTATTAATCACATGCAGTTTGTTTTGAGATAAATAAGGCATAATCCTGGTGCGGTGCTTAAAACCGCGTCTTTTGGAGATAATTAATATTGATACAAAGAGCCCAACGAGATGCGTGGTGTATTGATCAAGAACAACATATATAACATTACCATT